GGGAATTATTATAAGACAGACAGACTGTATCTCTCTATCATTATCACACTGCTTTTTGTATACATGTCTTATTAAAAATTATTATAAGACAGACAGACTGTATCTCTCTATCATTATCACACTGCTTTTTGTATACATGTCTTATAGTTTCTATGTATGGGACAAGTAATATATTGTAAAGTAAATATTTGTATATAATTTTGTGTATGACTTAGTAGTATAAAAAGTTTTGAGAAAAAAAAAAAAAGCATGTCTGTCATTCCTTTTTTCCAGCTATTCTGTTCCATCTAGATATTAAGGTGTTAACATATTGTAGATAATACCCATAATGGGAGAATTGAAAATAGGGAATCTTTCTTTGATGCATAATTCCTCCATTACTATTATTATGACAATCTGTTTGTTATAATAATAAGATTTCAGAAAGAACAAAATGATCTTTTACATTGTACGAATGAAAAACTTCTGTTAATATCAGGCAGTTTTCATGAATAATGGCCAATGCTGTGCTATAAGCAAGAACTTGACAATGAAAAAATTGTCTTAACACCAAATTTCCATTGTCTAGACTATTTGAGCATTTATATTCAAGTTTTGCAAATGTCACATCTGCACCGGTGCTTCTGCTATGTATTTAGAGATTCTTGATAAAATTCAGAGAATGTGCAATGTTGTATGTCCTGACCTGGCATTTAAGCTTCAGTTACTTTCCTACTTCTGTAATATGTTTTCTCAATCCTTTTCTATAAATATTTTCTTGATGATTGCTCTGAGGTGTTTTTTATTTTCAATCTGCCAAATTGGAGAATGTAGATTTATTGCACAGAGGGTTTTCTTTGACTTTCATATGATCCCAAGGATCTTAAATGATGGCACTTTCTTTTGTCAAGGAGTCTGATTTGTTCATCAATCGGTATAAAAATAGATTTCTGCCATTTCTTTTCTTTCTTTCATGTTTCTCAAGATAGCTATCTCTATGTGAAATCTCCTATCCCAAATTTGTTTAGATCAATATACCACATTATAGGGACAGGAATTGACTGTTTTACATCTGATTTTTACATTAATCTTTAATATTATATTAATTTAATGTTATATTAATCTTTAAGTTGCATCAGTTTTAATAAGAATTTATTTATTTTTTTTTTTTTAAAAAAGGCATGTTTCTGCTGCATCAACTATGGCTAATGTTTCAGCAGCTAGAAATTTTTTGGCAATACTTCTAATATGTTTAGATTGTCAAGCAATTGGCATATATTTATTATTACTTCCTACCTTGTGATTCACCATCTAATGGTAAAAGTGGAATTTGCAACTATATGTGAAGCATTTGGTGGCATTGCCTTAAATTTTTATCAGAAAGTGGTATTGGAATTTTGTTCTCTTCTGCATTTGTTGTCACTACCTAACCAATTTGAAAAACAAGAAGGATATTTGGCTTGATAAGCAAACATAATCCACTTCACTAGGCTCATCTTGGTTGTTTTCATTTTAGGCAACATCCACATCTCTTTTTTTTTCTTTTTCTTTTTTACAACTGTAAGAGTATTGAAAAAAAAATCAGAAAACTGCACATAATTTTTCTTAGTTGTCTGGACATGGCAGGCAGTGTTAGTTCTCTGATAAGGGCTTTTACTAGTCGTTCATTCTCTAGTGTTAGACATGCATTTTTTTTCATGCTCTGTAGGCAATTCTGTTAACAGTATGTTATGAACCTTTAACCCTTTGCCTTTCCTGTGCATCACATATGATGCACAGGACAGTTTGGATAGTACACATGAAAATGTCCTAGATGAGCAAAGGGTTAATTTTGAATTTTTTTTTAATTGAGTTCATCCTAAGCAAGGCAGTAAAGATACTAATATACAAGGGGTTACTGAGTGTAAATAAATAAGAAAATAGAGAAACATTTGTTATGGCTTTCTGCAACTCCTACCTATACCCACACAATATCTTACACTTAGCAACCCATCTCTCTTTCTCATCTCTGTAATAATATGTGAACTCCCTCCTCTTTTAGTCTGTAATAGCATTTGCTGAACGCAAAGACAATTAGGTCAGACTGATAACCATGGTAACAGTGGATAAAGGTGTTGGTTAGATCCAGTGACAGACCCAAAGAAGGTGAGTTCAATACCTGGTTAAGGCAGTGGAGAACTTTCAGAGGGAAAATTAGCAGGAGATAACTGCTAACTGACATCCATCAAACATGGCACGTGGAACTAGAACAGTCTACCCCAGTGATCGAAATAAAGGGTTCAGTTCGAAATTCCAACCACCTGAAGAAGGCCGGAGTGTACAACGGCCGAAACGTTGTGACAAATATGGCGACAAAGATGAGGACAATAGTCCGACTAATGTAAATACTGTGCCAATGGGAAAGGTTGACAGAACTCGGTTGAGTGACAAATCTCGAAAGAAATGGAGTATATATTAAATTCTCATGTGAATTGACTTTCTGAATTGAAGAGAAGGAATGATGACCCCAACTCACATGAAGCTCCAACACAGAATTAAACAAGTCTTGCGTGAACAATTCCTCTTTCACTTGTTGCAGTCAAGCAAGAGAGATCACATGACAAGAGACAAATTCCAGTTTAACTTTACACTATGCAGCTTACATTAAGGGCATAGGTGAATGGTGAAATGTGACTATAACCTAAGAAACACACACACACATATATATATATATATATATATATATATAGGGATATAATTAATAGGACAAAGGATCTGAAACACAAATTCTGCACAGCCAAACCTGACTTACACAGCATCGAATCTTCATAGCCAGATGTACGATTTTTGCAGTGCTGAAACTAAATGACTGGTTAATGAATACAACATTAAAGTAAGAATAGATCAAAGGACTCTGCTACTTGTGTGAACAAACTGGTTTGAAATTAACAGGTACAAAGAGAATCATGAGAGAAAAAATGGAAAAGCAAAAAACCTTATTTTATCTCTGAAGAAAAACTGAAGCTAAATTTTGTTTCAACATTTGCTCTTCTAGAATAATGCATGCATCTTTCCACACAGAAATGTATAGCACACATCTTTCCATGCCTTCTCATATCTAAATGTTTTTATGTATTGTTTAGTTGTTATTAAATCTTGTTAATTTGTATATTGGCATTCATCTTTGGTTACTGTTGGTTATTATTCTGAAATTGTGTGTTTGACCCTGCACTGAATCCTTCTACTGTGGAGTGGTAAACCTGGGCATCTTTTAAATGACATGTTGTTTTTTTTAATCTTTTCTTTTTAAAATTTGTGCTGTGGTAATTGGCCGTAACACATTATTAAGAAGCGAGATCAATTGAGGAAGAGTAATCAGGAGGAAAGTAGATAATGATTGACATTGCATTTAAATTTTTGAAGATGAAAGTTGGTCGGAAACCATGGAGCTAAAAGAGTTCCACAAATGTGAAGCATGAGAAATGAAACTGTTAGCATAGAACTTATGGTTACATTTAGCCAATTCAACTGTAAATTGATGAGACCTTGTTGCTAATCTCAATGATCAAAATTAATGTGTTTAGAATAGGCAGAGTAATAAATTGCTCAATGACTTTTTTTATGTTATAAAAGCCACTGGTTGGCATCTTCTAAAAAGAGTGTATCCAATTTTTCATATAGTTTTTCCATTCCATCAGTGGCATGTAAGATGGTAATGTCCAGTTTCATGATGACATCTGTTTTTTCCTTCCAGGAATAAAAATACAATGGGTTCACAGTATGGTTTATCAAGGCTGGTAGCAAGTTCCCAAACTTGCATTTCTTTCGAGTATTGTGTTTAGAAGAGGCAGAGTAATAAATTTGGAAACCATTATGTTGTTTGCTGCTGTTCCCTGCTGCCAATTTATATTTAAATTAAGCAAGTTTAACAAGTGATGGAGAAAGAATGATTTATTTGAACTGCTTTGTTTTCCACATGGTTTCCCATCAAAAGATGGCTGCTTGGTGTTTCTGGTTAAGATTGTCCCTTCCTAGTTTGGAGAATGTCAAAGGGGAGTAACTCATGAAGATTAACAGTAATGGTTGTTATTTTTGTTTTGGTCAATGTATCCTTTGACCTTTCCTGGGTTTATTTTACATTTATTAATTCTGTGTGGGTAGCATAATGGCTATCAGTGTTGCAAATGAAATTGGTAAACAGAGTTCAAATTCTGTTGCATTCACTTTGCATTGATAACATTGGGAAAGCATGAATCCATTTCTTCTCTCCCCTAACTATGGATTAAATAGTAATGAACTCTCTTGCTTGAATAGCTGTAAGGCTAGAAAAAAACCCCTGAAATCTATGAATGGTATTTCTTGCATTGTAGCTTGGTTTGACTATTTACTACTACTTCTGCATCTGGCCTTGTGACTTGATCCTGATCCTGGATGTGATATCAAATAGAACAGGTTTGGAATTACACCCCCCCACACTTTTTTTTTTTTGAATATGACTGATGCATATACTAAAAAGAACTGGTAATATCCCTTGTATATGAACAGCATATATATATATATATATATATATATATATATATATATATATATATATATTATATTCTTTTAAATAGAAAAAAAGAATTATGCAAGAAAACCCTGCATGAGTGCTACTGTCTTACCTATCACAGATATGGAAGGTCTTAATGGTTATTAATCTGTTTCATTGTTAAGAATTCCTAAAATCTAGCTGCCATATAGCTCTAAATTCCAATTTCCATCACCACATGCTATCTTAGGATGAATTCTATTATTTCTTTCACCTTACACCCTTTACTGTGCAGTAACTTCTCTATTTGATTTTATTTCAAAGTGCATGGTGCTCTCTATTTTGTCGTCTATAATAACCTGACTTTAGGCACTCATCTAATATGGCTTTCATTGTTTTAAAAAATCTTTCTCTTAAGAGATTGCTGGTTTTACCTTTTTATAATTTTATGCCAAATTGTACTTCCCATAACAATGCATGTTTGTTTTATCCAATATCATTTCTTTTCTTTCAGAATTATTACCTTGGAGTTGATTACTACATCATGTTGAATCCTGATTTTTTAATCTTAATTGTCAAAGATTATTTGAATTATGCACCACAACAGGTAATTAAAAAGAAAACTTCTTTTAAAACAGTAATTACTTGACTCTTTTAACGCTTCTTTTATGTGCCGTGTCTCTTCATGACCTAGGTGATTATTGCTCACCACAACTTCCTATCCTTTCTAGCTCTAAGCAATATTTATCCCCTTACTATTCCTCCCAGTCCCTGTTCTGCAATCCATTTAAGCCTGTTAAGTAGGTTGATCATGGTTCTCCACAACTTCCTATCCTTTCTAGCTCTAAGCAATATTTATCTTTTTACTGTCCTACCCAGTTCACATTTTGCTATTCATTTACACAAGCCCATTAAGTAGGTTGATCATGGCTCTCCACAACTTCCTATCCTTTCTAGCTCTAAGCAATGTTGTCTCTTATTATCCCTCCCAGTCTCTGTTCTGCCTTGTATGTGTTAAATTCTCCAAAACCTGTTTCTTCATGTGTCCCAGAAATTTCAACTTGCATTTCCTTGTTGCTCGCATGCTCTATGGTATTCTCAGCATCCTTCTGTAGAACAAAACAATTGATCCAAGAAGAAATTTGTTCACATTTACGGTCATTCTGAAAGATTGGTATTCAATTATACAAGATGGTACCTCAACAAAATGGAATTTCCATGTGATACATAAATCTGACATTATCCCACAAGTCAATACTATTCCAAAATGGTGTGTTTTGGATGAATATGTTGACTGTCTTTTCTTTGTTTTGTTTTTTTTGTTTTATAGTGTTTTCCAGTATGACAATTTTCATGATGACTAGTAAGAAAAAACTGAGAGGTTGGATAAATTTTTGTTTTCATTTGCTGAAACTGTTCTAAGGATGTGAGAAGATTTAAAGGAAGAAGCTTATTGTAAAACATAATTGTATGAATGATATTTCCATTTGCAATGTGGTGAAGAACAGTCATGAAAAAGAAGATGAAATGATGAAAATGAAATGTTTACCATATAAAATCAATGATGTGACTTGGTTTGTCTTGACATTCATGCGAGAGAATATTAAGAGAAAGTTTGAAAGTGAAACACTTTTCTGCAAAATCTCTCCTTTATTTACTTCCAAAAGATAAAGGAAAAAAAAAAAATTTCTGCTCTCTGATTTGAAGGGAAAAATTTGAAATGACTGTCATTTTCTTTTCAAGTCAAGAAATATATCCCTTTATATTTCTTTAATGCATATCATCATTAGATCTACTGTGACTAATATCCTTATCTTTTGGAATTTGGAGAGGGGGCATAAGAGTGTGATTGTATTGGAGATGAAAACTTATACATTATTCTTCGAAAAACACAGATCCCCTGAAAGTCAATGATTTTATAACATTTTTTTAGGAAACTATCATTACTTTTCTAATCTCACTGAATTGCAGCTAATTATAAAATTACTACTAATTTATTATGCAAAATACTAATGAGCAGTTTTAATTACTGAACTTGTAATTAATTTGTATCTTTAAGTACTTTGTCAGTATGATATGCTTAACCAGATTTGATTGCGGAGAGAATTGTTTTTCCTATATGATTGATTAGTGCTTGGGCACAGGTTACAAAACCAGGATTTTAATATTGGTTTTTCAAGATGTCAACGTAATTACTTGGAAAAAACAGGATCTTTTTCTCCTTTTTGCTTATGAATCCTTGTGCCAAAATAAACTGGAATTCTTAAATGAATGTTGAAGAAGCAGGCATGGTTAATTGGAATTGAGAAAATTTCTCAATTATAATAAAAAGAGGAAAAAGAAGACCAGGGTAAAATAATACGTGACAAGATAATGTAATGCAAATTAACTGTAAGATAGTGTGAAGTGAGTAGCCATAGTCAAATGCAAAATAGGTGACAGAATTGTCCAAGAAACAAAATTTACAATAAGTAGTAACAAGAAAAAGAAAAGAACTGGGAAAAGAATAATATAAAGCAAATTATATCGACAAATTAACAGTAATAAGGCAAAGCAACAGTAATATAGCAAAATGTTAAAAAACTAATTAGGGTTGTCACATAAAAGCAGGTTTGGACAAGCGAATGTAGTGTTCCGACTTCAGCACAAGACAGACCGGGACTGAGTTAAATGAAATTAAGAACCAACCTATTTTATTGGCTAGGGAAAAAATCTCAGCATGCATTTGTATGCTTCTGTCTATAAATTGGGGAGGCCTGTTTTCCAGTCATTCCTATATGGATTGAAACCCACAATCACCCACATCTCAACGTTCATAAAGAATAAACAGTGTTCATGCACAAAACAGATATACAATCAAGTGGCTATAGCCTCCTGACTTCATGGAAAGAAAGAAAAAATTGTGAATATTTATTGTACAATGTGTACAATAAGCCACAAGGGCAAAATGAGGGAAAGTGTAAAAGGCTGGTCTTTATTTGTCTTAGCTAGCCTCAATCACTGAACCATCTACTCAAATACTTTCACTTTCACCAAAATACCACATTTACACAAAACATTCATACACAGGCACCATAATACCACAATTGCTCTATGAAATCCTACCTTGTAATCCATATATCTTTGTGGTGGTGGTGGGAATATATTAACAAGTATATATTAAAGTCTCCCCAATGTGTATTTACAATGAAAAGATATATATATATATATATATATATATACACACACAGAACTAAGCAAAACAATTGTTAGAAAAGTGAATCCTCCACAGTCTAATTGTAGCAGAGACACCAGATAACTGGGTGAAAAATTAGCAGAATTAATATAATGCAAATCTAAGTATCACATAATCTATTTATATTATATATATAAATATTATCTTTAATCTAGTTTCAATTGTTTTTTTTCAACTGCTGATCCATCTTGGTTGAATCATCAATTAAAATCAGCAGCAAATGACATAATAAAAGCCTTAAGGTGACCTGCAACTTTTTCAAAAACTCAGTACCCCCATCAGTATTTGTAAGGTTAGTTTAGTCCTGAACATCTTTCTCAAATTTGTGTTTTTCTGATTTCAATAACCAAAATATATATGTATATTTATACAAACCTAGACAAATCTGAATAAAATATTGAATGGGAACTTGGACAGGCTAAGAACCCTACTTCAGTTCTCCGAACTAAAACTTGGTTCATGTAGCTAGTATGCAACAGTCATGATGCTGAGTTACCCCTATTTACAGTCCAAGCATTTTTTCCATTTTATAAAAAAAAAAAAATTAAAGCGGAAAGAACTAAAGTATTTTTGGGGGTATTTTTTTTTTTAAAATCAATTATCATTTTTTTTTTTTCAAAACTTATTTTAAGAAAATCAGAAATTATAATGTTTATTTAAAATATTTTGAACCAAAAATTCTTAAAAATCAATTTAGCTTCTGCAATTTTAAGAAAAAATGTAATTTGAAAATAAAACAAAGCAGGTCATAAACTTTCGCGTCAAACTTGACAGGTGATGAATGACATATTGATGGATTACGTGAGGATAATTTGTTCTACGGAAGGAGAAAAGTGAAATTATTTAGATTTAAGTGAACAAATTATTTACCTCGTTATTTTTAAGGAAAACTTTCAGCGTCTAATTTTTTTTTTTTTTTTACTTAGCTTTCACCTTTTACGTTTACGATGCTTTATGGAAAATATATTATAAAGAAATTAAAATAAGACTGTTAAGAGTGAGATTAAATTTCATTTCTAAGAAAAAGGTATCTAATTAATTTATAGGTACCTTTCTTATGAAATTTTATCAGAAGTGTACATAAAATACTATAATTTTATGTACATTTATTACATTTTACTGTGTTATTTGTATTTCCATTCATTTTATTATTAATTTTGATATTTCATTTATGGAAAAATGTCATAACTGAGATTAATATAAAAATAAGATCATATAAATTACATAAGATGATACTGATACTTGTAGGTACCCTTCTCAGTTGAAATTGAAAAATCAAATTAACTTCTCCACACGTGTTTCGCAAAAAGTAAAGGCCTTAACAGCGGAGAACAATGCTTAACTCAAATAACGCAACTTAATTGTATTCTGGTTGGTCTTCCGTACTTTTATAATTACAGCCCGATTATAAACACAAAATTACATTTCTTAATTACTGCGGGTCTTCTGATTAGTCAAAATGATACAATTTACAACGCGCTAAAAAAAAAAAAAAGATCTATCTCATAAGGACATTTACGAAAGTGGATGCGGCTTTTAACTAATTTTATAATATTTTAACAACTTAAATGTAAAAAAATCTATTATAATTAAAAAAATAACAAATAATTGTATTAAAAATTCATTTTTCATCGAAAAAATTTTTTTTTTTGCTTTCAGAAAATATTGTCCATATTCATAAAAAAACAACTAAAAACAAATAAAAGCATTTGAAATTAAATAATATCTTTGTTTTATTGAGTTTTGTATGTTACAATTCAGAGCTGATTTTCAGGTAGGGGGGGGGGTCCAAAAAAAAAAAAAAAAAAAAACATGATTTGCATTCCTCAAAAAAGCCTTGTGCTTTTAACTATTGTAATCACTAAACCCGATGCGATCAATTTCTAGAGTTTTCATAAAATTAGTTATGGGGGGGGTAATAAATATAAAAAAAAAATATTTCTGCCATGACTTTAAAAAAAAAAAAAATATTTTATAATAATTTCGATCATCTGTGAATAGTTTCTGAAAGTTTCATTAACATCCGACAATTATTTTTTTTTTTTTCAAGATTTTCCAAATTAATGTGTCATAAAAAAAAAAAAACGTGCTAAAAATTATATGTTATTTTACTAGTTCCGGTGATACAAAGAGAAAAAAAGGTTTTTTTAATCAAAATTTAGAATGTTCTAAAAAGAAGGAAAAAAAATTTAAAAAATAATTAAAAAAAAAATTTTTTTCCTCTTAATAATAACATAAACATTTAGACGATAAAATTTTTGTTTTCGTCAAGTTTGGCGTCTTTTTTTTCATCATGCTATGCTCTTTTTTTTTAGCGATCTCATTTATATTAAAAGTATTTAAAAGAAAAATAAAAATGGTTTATTTGATAA